TTCTTCTTCTTCTTCTTCTTCTTCTTCTTCTTCTTCTTCTTCTTCTTCTTCTTTATTTCTTTTTTTTATTGTAGAACGATTGATGGTCGTCTTAGACAGTGTGACCTATATTCCAGAGTGCCTGGGCTTCCTTGTGCTGATGGTGCTGGTGATCCAGCTGTTCCTGACCCTGAGGGCAAAGGTGATGGAGCGACTCCACCACTACTCTCTGGCCAGAGACCCCGCCACACACAACGGGGCCGCCGTGAAAAAACTCTCCAACTCCGGCATACCCAAATCTTCCTCTAACACGGTGAGTAGCTTACAACTTTAGTTTTAGTTTTAGTAAGCGATTTACGGCACTTGCAACACAATAAGGTCATATAAGTGCTGAAGATTAGAGGTGTTACAAGAGAGTAACAAACATAAAAAAGACAGAGTGGAGATAAAGACGATAGATGTTGGATAAGAAAGAAGAAGCAAACCACACCAGAGCACCCGCTAACCACCAACGTAAGGAGTTTAAGCAGTTTCAATGCAATTTTGTAGAAAAAGACGTTGACTTCAAACAGGACCAAAAATGACATAGCGGTAAGAAAAACTATCAATGTTTTCCAAAGTTATCAACAACAACAAAAATCACAAACTCCCAAAACAACTGTCTCTGTGACCACAACCACCAGTACCAAAACGACTTAATTAATTAAATCTGTAAAAACTATCAACGTTTGTTTTAGTAGACGTTTTACAGCGCTCACAACTGCATAAGGTTATATGAGCGCCAAGGGGTGGATGTCAAACAGAGAAGTCTTTACAGGGAATCAGGCTTACTCTGCTCACGTCTCTAGCTTCAACAGCACAAGGTCTGCTTCGACTATAAAGGCCCCCCGGAAATAGTGGGTCACAAGAGAGTGACAAACATACAAAAGAAGTAGAGGGAGAATGGCGATAGTAAAGATTAGGGGAAAAAAGCAGCTGTTCCCTGTTTTAGTTCAGGTACAGTTATGAGCATGACATTGATAAATCAGCTCATTTGCAATTCTACTGTGCATAAGAACATGTTAATATCCCTCCTTGGGGAATGGCCTAAAAACACTTTGTTCAGTAGCACCGCCCTGGGGGGGGGGTGAAACTATCAACTTTCACAGAGACTTGAAACAAATAGACAAAGAAAACCCACTTTCCTAAACCACCTTTGAGAAGTTCATAATAATAATATGTTCGGTACATGCAAGTTTTCTAAAATTGTTAATCTATTTCAGAGTATTAACGGAGCAGCCCCGAGCCCTAAATCAGTCTCCTATTCAAAGCAAGACGTTTGCGTGACAACTTTCAGCCGGAACAACGCCAAGATCGTGACGAGCCAGGCGGAGCTCTTGCTGCGGAACATCGACGACTCCAAGACGTTCGTGAAGCCACAGTCCTGTGTGATCGAGTCGCTGGACATCCTGTGTGAGTGTCCCAAGTCCAAGCTCTACCTGCTCTTTGTGGACGCGGCGAGCTGTGGGACAAGGCCGGATGACGTCACAACAGCAGCAGCAACAACAACAACAGCAGCTACAGCAACAATAAATTCTGAGCCAAAGACAACTACTGCTGATCAGCCAGACCTGACGTCACAGCCCGCCATCCTGTCGCAGACAGAGTTGTTGCTCCTTACCGTGCGGCACGTCAAGTCTATGGGAGGTTTGTGCATCTGACCTACTGACCTACTTCCTGTGCGTTGACATGGCGTGGTCCGTGGTCCGTTGACTCACTGTCTAATAAGGTGTCAGTGTTTGATACTGTGTTTATGTGTGTCTTTGTGTTTGTATGTGTGTCTTTGGGCCAATATGTGTGTCCTTACGTTTGCATGTGTGTCTTTTTGTCTGCATGTGAGTGTCTGTCTGTGTTTGTAGTAATATGTATATAATATGTAGAATGAGCCCCATTTCTTCTCATTTCCGGAAATACTCCGAGAAAAACAGGATTATCATCATCATCATCATCATCATCATCATCATCATCATCATCATCATCATCAT